TTCGGCCCCGACTTGCGCTTCTGCTTCTGTGAGAGGGAAGTGCTGGAAGTCCAGGTGGGAGGCAAAGCGGAGGTAGTGGTGGCTGAGTCCTGGCTGGGGCTGGTGTACGTCGCTGGCAGCCTTGCAACACTGGATGCCCTCCTCGTGACCGACAGCCTGCTTGGACATGGACTGCGACAGCATCCCGCTGCAGCCCTGGATCTGAGCCCCGTTGGTCTGCGAGTACACGTTGCTGACCTTGGTGGCCTTCTGCTGCCCGTTGTTGTTACACACCTTGTAGCGGATCATGAGGATGATGATGAACACAAGCACAGAGGCCACGATGATCCCACCGATGATGATAATCATGGTCCCACCCAGGAACTGGGACTGCATGAAGTGGCAGCGCACATAATCCTGCTCCGTGGTGAACTGCGTGCAGCCCACAACTCTGGTGGCTGTCAGCGAGGTGATCCCATCGTCATAGATGGCCAGGACGCACAAGTCGTACATCGTCCCTGCAGCCAGGTTGTTGACCAGAAAGGTTTTGCTTGTGGGAGGTATCATTCTGCGGGAGAAGGAAACCAGCATGAATGACCTTGGCAGCCACACAGGCACCTCCCCAATGTGCGTGGCAGCCCCATCCAACGTGGCCTGGAACACTTCCAGGGATGGAGCAGTCACAGCTGCTCTGGGCAACCTGTGCCAGTGCCTCAGCACCCTCACGGGCAGAAATTCTTTCCCAAGATCTGATCTACGTCTACCCACTTTCAGTTTAAAGCCATCACCCCTTGTCCTATTAATGGCATAAGGAAATTCACAGAAGAAATGACCAAACAGTGACAGTGTTGAAGTGTGCCACAGCTATACCCAGCAGCACAGAGCTCCCCTGCACTTCCCCAGCATGGACACTGCTGGAAAGTGCTGTGAGGAACACGGTCACAGACACCATCCTCCCCGTGCTTCCAGAAAGCTGAGCACACCAAGATCCATTTAATCCATCTACCTTCACAACCTTTCTCAGATCAGTTCAGAGGATTAGAGGTTGTTTGGATTATCTAAAAATAACACCGTTCAAGGTAATTTCCCCATCTGCGAGTAGAAAATGGCACGAGTCCTTCTCAAGGCTCCCACCGTCAGCTGCCAAGGGCCGGGCTCAGCCGGCATGGCACAGAATGGGAACTCCAGAGGAAGGGCTGCCCAGCTGGGGCCACACACCAGCTACACACCTGGCATGGCCCTGCATGGGCAGGCTGGGGCTGCCTTACCTGTAAACAAGGGAGTCATCATAAGTACCATTGTACTGGATTTGGAACATACGTATCCCAGGTATATTCCTCTGAAAATTGAATTTCAGCAGAACGGTGGAGGATGTTGCTTCTGCAACGACCACCTTCTTATCCTGGCTGACTTTAGTATCCCCATTGCTACTGCTCGTGTTGGAGCCTGACTTGGTGGACGTGGAGATATCCGAGGAGCCCGGGTCAGGCTCGTGGATGTGGTTTGTGCTGTTCAGCAAGTGGGGGAGTTTTATGATGTGCAGGTCCACTGTCTGTGTAGCTTCCCCTGCCGGGTTGGAAGCAATGCAGGTGAAGGAGCCTGTGTCCTTCACCGTTGTGATAAGGATGTCGAGCGTCCCATTGTCGTACACCACAGACCTGGTCGCATTGGAAATCAGTTTGCCCTCGGGTGAAATCCAATGAATGGCTGGCTCGGGGTCGCCCCGGGCCTTGCAGCGCAGGGCTGCCCGCTGCCCCTCCAGCACCCGCAGCTCGTGGGTGTGTCGGGTGATGAGTGGAGGCTCGCACAGGAACTCCTCCTCAGGGATCGACCAGAAGTACCGGCCAGACAGAAGCGTGGGAGAGGCACAGGTCTCCAGGTCGTCCTCCCTGGAAAGGCGCCTCAGCCACAAAAGCTCACAGTTGCAATGCAAGGGATTCCCACCAAAGCTCAGCGCAAACGTTGAGGGGCTGATAATTCCTGAGGTTGCCAGCACCTGAGCACGCTGGAAGAGTGGATCAGGCGGTAGCTTCTGCAGTTTGTTAGACGTGACGTCCAGCCTGGTCATCTTGTGGAGATGGGAGAAGGTCCCCTTAGGGATATGGTCAATCATGTTGTGGTCTAGACTGAGAGTGTGCAAACTGACCATCTTCTCCACCGCGTCCCAGGGGATAGTTTCCAGATTGTTGTAAGACAAATCCAATTCCTCGAGAGCTAAAACATCATCAAAAGCTGTGGAAGAAATTAAAGTCAGCTGGTTGTTGTTCAGGATCAAGTGGTGGAGATTGGAGAGCCCACTGAACATGTCATTAGTGATCTTAGTCAATCGGTTGCTGTTCAAGTGCAGAGCCCGCAAATTACGCAGGTCAGCAAATGCGTGAGGTGTGATAAAACTGATTGTATTCCGGGACAGCGTCAGATCCACCAGGCTGGTCATGTTGGCAAAGTCTTTCCTTTTAATGTTTGTAACAAAGTTGTCTGCCAGTCGCAGCTCCACAGTCCTCCTGTCAATGTTGGGAGGAACAAACAAGAGCCCTTTCTTGGCACAGAGGGTGGCGAGGTTGGGAGACAAGATCTGACAGACGCAGCGCTTGGGGCAGATCTGAGCTCGCACCACTATGCCAATGAACAGCAGAAACAAAAGCAGTTTTTCCATTGTAGATTAGGTTCAAGAGCCTGCAAGGGAGAGCAAACGGCTGTTAGTCTCTGCGAGATAAGCAAAGGATATAATAAAAAAGCCAAGACAGATTGTCTGTAGTTAAACCATGGAACCGAGGTTCAGGTGCTGCCATGTCACCCTCACCACATTACCTGGTTCTTTGTCATTTCCCTATCCTGACACAAGGGTGCCTATACTGCCTGCCAGGGGGACAGCTGAGAGACAGGGATGTTTGTAAATGCACACATACACACCCAGACACTCAGTGCTCAAGAGCCAGAGAGATTGGGAAGCCACTGGTGGCACCACACATGCTGCCTCTTGGGCCCCTCCTGCTAGAGCCTGTCCTGCTGCACAGTGCACCTCTGTGTCTCAACAGATCCCCCAACCTCCTGGGTTGGAGCTCCTTGGCCATAATGGCAAATGTCCAGGTGTGGGAAATGAGGGGTTGTTCAAGTATGCTTCACTTGCTAAGCTGAAACCCTCAGCAGCCTCGAAATCACAGCAGCTCAATGGGTTTAGAGCTGTCTCCACCGAACGTTTAAGCTCTTAATGCTATTTTCAGAATAAACTCAAGAAGGAGCTAATTTTATGCCATTCAAACCCCCAAAATGCAAAAAAAACAACCAACTAAACAAATAAAAAAACCTGAAACCCAAGAAAAGCCCCCACAACAGAGATCTAAATAAAAATGGATCCTGGGCTAATTTTAGCTGATCACAGCTTTGCAGCAGCCGCAGCACCATGCCCCCCCGCCCCGGAACACCCGGTGGTTCAATTAGCCTTATCACTTACACTGCCAGGCCCGGCTCCTCACGTCATGTGGGCCAACAGCAGCAGTGCCCACGCCAGCTCAGTGAGATCACCCATCAGTGACTACAGCAGAGGCTCTGTGGCACCGGTACTGTGCGGGCACGTGGGAGGGCTGGGGGATGCTCCTCCATGGAGCAGGTGAAGCACGGTCCCATGTGCCTGAGAGGGAACTACTGCCACCATGAACAACAGAGCTCAGGGGGGCTCCATGCTGGGAATGAAGCACTCAGCTCCCTTTGGGACTGGCACAGTTATTCATGTTCAGATCGGATTACTCAGACCCATTATCATCCCAGAGAAGCACTAATGAAGCTCAGCTAAAATACAGTTTCACAGCTAGCCAGGAGCAGGAGTCTTGAATCGTCATCGATATTTAAAGACATTTAACGTCAGAACAACAATTACTGTTCCTATTGTCCGGTCTGTCCTAACCCATCCATGGTGCCACGCAAGCTGAGGAGACAACAAAACAAATGAATGAAAATACTAGCCTAAACACTCCTTTTCAGCTCCATCCATTTATTTTTTCCTTATATTTCTGGAGGGTGTAGGTATTCAGGACTACTGACCGCAACTCTTGAGTCCCCACTGGAAAAATCGAAGACTGTGCTACCATGGTCCTCAGCACAGTGTGCTGCTGCAGGCAATGCTGGGAGCTGCTCCCATAACCAGTGTAACCACCACTGTTCTTGCTGCCATGACTTGCGGCAGAAAGCAAAGTGCCCCAGCAGCATTCTGGTATGTTCTGTGGACCCTGCTTCATGCCAGCACTGCAGGTTGGGGTGGCCTGCAGGTGACACAGACCTGGAGGAGAATGGCAATGCTGAGCACTGGAGGAAACTGCCTGCTGCAGCCCCCAAACCCCACTGGTGTCACCCACCAGTCATCTCCTGACCCAGAAACTTCAGTCACAGCCATGAGCTATCACCTGCCCTTTCCAGGTGGGACTTTCCTCCTTGAATCTACATTTGGCATGTACCAGATTGGAATGGGCTCAGCGGCTCAGGGCATCTGCAGCACAGCTGCCAGGGTCCCTGGACAGCCTTGGCTGGGGACACCAAACTCATTTAGATTTGCTAACTTAATGCTGCTAATTTAGATCTGTGGCTGTCATTACAGCCACGTGCCTGGATTCAGCCAAGTCCACTTGAAGAACTACACAAGACTAATACAAGATTAAACTCAAATCAGCACATTTACAATTTTGGAAATACTGTCACAAGATGAAACAACTTAAGCCACAGCTGGAATGACAAGGTTCCAACAAGGTTACCCACCAGCCCTCTGCTGGGGTTTTTTTTATTTTAGGAGACTTTTGATACTGATTCTCTCAGTATCCTCTGGACAAATGCCCAGCACATGGCCAGAGCCGGATGCAATGCAATTGGTGAATGTCACGCTATGGGGCTCGGCTTGAAGGCCTGATGGTGTTCACTTGCTGGAGATGGAGGAAGGGACATACTGGCACCAGTCACCACAGGCATCCCATAACTGCACTGAAATGGGGGCATGTAAACAGAGATGCTGAGATCCGCGGCATTCCAGCTGCTGGGACTAGTGAAGTGGAGAACAAGGAGTTTTCACAAAGGTCAATGGTTTGGAAACACACGGAGTGTGTTGCTGAATTGGAAACAAAGTATCTGAGAGATCAGACCTCAGATCAGAGAAACTCACATGGGAGGTTTGCTCTGGGGGCTGTGCTGGCCACCCAGTGCTGCATCAGCCAGGACCATGGGCCACCGTGCTCAACACCTGTAACACTTGCTGAGGACTGGACCAGTGAACCCCCACGAGGAGATATGTCACCAGGAAATCCTGTACCCTGGTCTTTGTTAAAGGGCTTTAAACACAACTGCAACCCTCAGACGCCTGGGAATCTTAAAACCAAGACCAAGGTGAGACCCAGGCCAAAAGCCAGGGCCAAGGGCAGCACTGCCAGCTCACACAGGGATGCTGCTTCTCCTGGCATAATGTGTGTTTCTTCCTCAAAAGCTCCATTTCTGGATTTTTCCTGGATTTCCCCTGTCTTCTAACAGCAAAGAGCTTCAGCTCTTGCCCTTGCAGCACAGAGCTTAAAAACATGCCCATAAAGCTCAGAAATTGAGGAGGAAAATAGGGTAATTATCATCTCTTTACTTTTAAAGCACTTTATTTTAGAATTGCTTCACATTGTCTGGAGCAGACAACATTCAACAATGCCAAGTCCTCAAAAAGGTAAAAATAAACACAGGGTTGCCACAGCAGTGCATATAGGTGACAAGTGGAGTGCTTCCAGCAGGAGCAGGGACACGGGCACATCCTGGGTACTCTCTCCTCACTTCTGCTGACACAGCTCCCTGTGTCCTGCATTTCCACAGGAGTGCTGGAGCCTTCCCAGGAGGTGTGGGTAGTGTCAGGATCCTCATGCTCTGGGGGATGCCCAACACTTACCACCCTGACTAGGGAACTCCCTTGCCTCCAGCACCACTCGCTGCTGGCTTGTGGCAGGGGGACCCAGCCACACCAGGGTGACACTAGGGCAAGCTGAGCCAGTGCAAGCAGGGACATGAGATTTCCAGGGATCTCATTTCTTTGCCTTTTCATTCTGCTCTCTGCTGGTCCCCAAGTGTCCCAGCACATACACTATGTCTCAGTGAGCTGCTCTGAACACAGGGACTCGAGCACTGCTGCCTGCCACGCACTGACAGTGGCAGGCAAGGTGGCAGCACGCTTCCAACATGCTCCCAACACGCCTCCTGCACACTTTCAGCACACTTCCTGCACTTCTGCTGCTGGTGTGGTGCTGAGCCCACGGCCACATGCAAGAGCTACGCATATGCTGCTCCGCTCCCTGCACTGCCGCTGAGCTGAATGCACCTGTGGCTCCCTGAATTAAACTGAGCGAGTCAGAGCGGAATGGGGGCTCCGACACGACACGCGGGGTGTGCTGGAGGCAGCTCATCAGGCTTTGGTATCACAGCCAGGAGCCCAGAGCGATCCGTGGGATGAGTCAACGCAGCAGCGCAGAGCACGACTGCAGCTCTGCAAGGTATTAATAGCTGTGCCGTGAGGAAACCACAATCCTGCGGTGCCCGGGCACCTCCCGCTGCCCCAGCATGGATGGGGAGAGGGACACTGAACTGAGCACAAACCAGAGCAGCTCCTGAGAAACACCCTGTGACAAAAACACACGTGGAGAGATCACCTGAGGGATATCTCTGCGCACCTGTCTTGCCCGGTGTCGAGCCCACTGAGCTCTGTGTTAGCTGTGCATCTACCAGGGGCTCTCCAGGTCTGAGAGCCTGTTTGGGCTCTTTTCACTGTACCCTCCTGCTCCTTGGGGCAAAATGTCTTGGCAATGCATCCTTCCACGATGCAGTGAACAGCAGCTTCCCAAGGCATCTCGAACACATGTACAAGCAGTAGACTGATCACTGGCACTGTCCACCACTGTCCTTGTGCCCTGATGACCACGAGCACCCACCCAGGGCTGCTAGTCTGTGTGCTGGCTGTCCAGGCTCTGCGGACACTGCAGGGCTCAGACAGGCTGCTCTGCTTTCCCCGGCCCCATCTATAAAATGTGCCTTACAAATTTCATCCTCTTCCTTTCCTCCAGCCCCCAGGAATCATTCCTGCACTGGTACGTGACGCAAGGAAGACAGCACAGTCCCCATTGTCTGCACTCAGAGCACCCAGCACAGCTGCAGCCCCCTCCCACAGCCCTGCCATGGGCTGGCAGTGCCACCTGAGTCTGACCCTGCACCCACTGCCCCCACACCCACCACCCTGTACCCATCGTCCCCACACCCTGCACCCCCTGGGCAGGGCAGGAGCTGAGGCCAGAGCTCCACAAAGGGGGATCTCACCAAAAACCCTCTCAGGTACAGCGAGGGACACACATTGTGTTTTAAGGTCAGAACACCAAAATCGTTAAGGTCCCTCCAACCCAAACTGTTCTACAACTGTATATAGAGATTTCTAGCTTCTGATGAGTCCCTGTACCACATACTACACGGACACTGACAGCAACATCAGCATCAGCTGTTCAGCTTCCAAACGGGAGCAAGCCGAAGTGAATAATTGTTTAAACGAAGCAGTTGTTAACTTATCAAAACATTTATATGGAAATAGAGTATTGTGGCATTTTCCAAACCAAGTGTTTTTGCAACATCAAAACACAACACAAATGTGAAGGGATTTGCTTT